ACACAGCTGCAATCAAGGCTCGCCGAACTGGAAAATTCTCGAGTTGCAAGTGCCTCTACCGCGAGCAGCCCGACGTACTCCTCTCCCAATCACACGCCATCGGCTACAGACGTTCCTGTCAAGCAGGAGGAAACCGGGGAAGATGAGGGTCTCGTAGAAGGTTTCAAGTATATGAGTATCGATCACAAGCCCGCTCGCTTCATGGGCAGGTCCAGCAACTTCCCCCTCATCAACGCCGCGCTCAAAATGAAGCGAGAACTCGTTAAAGACAACAGCAGCCCGTTGCCCGATGGAGGGTGCAATCCTCTGATGCTGTCGAAACGGCGTCCAGAATTCTGGATATCTATCTCTGTACGAGCTTGCCCGCTGCGAACGACACTTTTCACTAACGCGTCGTACTGTGGTAGGACTTTATCCCGCCAGAACTCCCATACACCGATTTCCCGGAACCCTCGCTCATGAACGACCTCCTCGACAACTACTTCCAGAAGATCCACAAGAACTTCCCTCTGCTCCACCGCCCGACGTTCCTGCAGAACATCGCCTCGGGGCTACACCTCACCGACGAGGGCTTCGGCGCGACGGTGCTGCTCGTGTGCGCCTTAAGCGCGCGCTTCTCGAACAACCCCGCTGCGCTCACGTCCGGCCTCACGAGCTGGCACTGGGCGGGCTGGCAGTGGTTCCAGCAGGTTCGCGCCGTGCGCAAGCTCATCCCGCTGACAACGACGACGCTCTACGACCTGCAGGTTGCCGCGGTAAGACGGCTCGAGTGTCCTTCGCGTGTGCGTTTGCTGATAGCTGTCATAGCTCGGTGGAGCGTATGTCGCCAACTTGGCGGTGCCGCAGTCGAACTACGCGATTCTGGGCTGCGGTATTCGGCTTGCGCAGGACTTGGGTGCGCACAGACGGATGGCGTACGGGCCGGAGCCGACGGTCGAGGGTGAGCTGAGGAAGCGCGCATTCTGGTATGGTATTTTTTTGGTCGTCTGTCCTTGCAGAGCGCTGATGTCTGCGCAGGTGCCTGTTGGCGATGGACAGAGGCATGTGCTCCATTCTAGGGAGACCGTGCAGTGTCCAAGATGAGGAGTAGGTATCGTTATTTCCCCCCATCTGTCTTTCACTCACCATCACTGCTAGCTTCGATGTTGATTACCCTATCGAATGCGATGACGAGTATTGGGTGACGGACGATCCACAAAAGGCGTTCAAACAACCTGTTGGGCAGCCTTCTACCGTCGCACACTTTAACTGCGCTATGAGGCTAGAGCGGGTGCATGCGCACGCGCTACGTACTATTGTACGTACTAATAGTATCTGAAACGTGCTTGTAGCTCACGCAGCCGCAGTATTCGTTGCAAGGGGCCAGGAGCCTTTCGGATCCCGAGCATGCGCAGCAGATCGTCGCGGAGCTGGATTCGGAGCTGAACCAATGGGTGGACTCGATCCCTGAGCACCGTACGTACACCCGAAAGCGCCTACCCTAGCCCAGCACAAACTGATTATCTGCAGTGAAATACGATCCCAACAGAGAAGATTTTCCCTTTGCTGGCCAATCCGCCTCGCTTTACGCGTCGTACTACCACCTGCGGATCTTCATCCACCGGCCGTTCATCACCACACCACGGAGGCGCGTGCCGCTGCCGTTCCCATCGCTCGCGATCTGCACGAACGCGGCGCGGTCGTGTATCCAAGTCCTCGACAGGCACTTTGCCCTGTCAGGCCCAGCGCTGGTGTTCCAATACCATCTGGTGCGACTCCCTTTCTCTCTCGTTCTTCCGACGTGGCTGATACATGCGCGTCGCAGGCATCGTTGTTCTCGTCTGCGATCATCCTGCTGTTGCATGTGTGGAGCGAGACGCGGTCAGGGTCTGCTACCGACGTCGCGAAGGAACTTGAGTGCGTCCACAAGGCGCTGCGTATATTCAAGAACCTTGAAGGATGGTAAGCTGCATTCATGTCGCTGCTGATGTCTCTCACGAGTGCCGCAGGTGGAACGTTGCTGGTCGGTTCTGGTGAGCGAGGCCGTGTGGCGCATGGTGCTATTTCGCTGATGGCATTCGCAGGGACATCCTCTACGACCTCATGGCCGCCGTCGAGTCTACACAGAACAGCAACGCTCGCGGCGCGCACGAACGTAGACCAGACGACGACGATGTGTCTGCGCACGGCATCTGCTCGGACTTCCTGACGCACACTCGGCAGCCTTCGACCGACGCACCGACCACGTACGTCAATGGCGTGCAACGGCAGCCGCGAACAGCGGCGAACCCTCCATCCCTGTCCCAGCCGAACTTCAGTTACGCGCCGCCGCCTCCGCGCGTTGATGGCTCCGACGACCCGACCCTCTGCTCGGACAGCAGCTTCTGGCGAGACCCGCCTCCGGCGCAACAAGAGACAGGTGCACAGGCACCGTTCGGGCTGCCGCAGCCACAACCTCTCGGCGACGCCTACACATCGAACCCTGACCTCGAGGCGATCTTCGCAGATTTGCTGCCCACGCTGCCGCACGAGGACCCGTTCCCGTTCGCGGCGATGGCGCGCGGCGTGCCGCCGTATCTCGCATCAGGCCAGCCTTTTGAGGGCGGCGGGCCTGCAGGCGGAGGAGCCTCTGGAGATCAGCCGTACGCGCACTCTGAGGGTTTCATGGACGTGCGGTTTCTAGGTACAGGGATGCCGTTTGTGTGGGGAGCGGGAACTCAGGGTGGCTCGTTGTGAGAGCATGTTGGTAGTTACAGTGGAGGGAGGCGGCCCTTTGCTGGTTGTGTCTCGTACACACCGCTTGTGCTTTCTAGTCAGCTTAGTATGAACACTTATGCTCTAAACTTCACGGAATGAACTTGTTGCTATGGATAGCTGTTCGGGCCAGCCGGCATTGGACATTTAGGATTCTAGGAGTCGCCGGATCGACTGGGACCTCAAAAAAAGAGAAAGAAAAAATACATCACAGACACGTAGTCATGACGAGAGTGGGATTCGAACCCACGCCCTTTCGGACCAGATCCTTAGTCTGGCGCCTTAGACCGCTCGGCCATCTCGCCGTCAATGAGGCGATATCCACATATTTATCTTGCATTATAGTATATCCTTCAGATTTTTCATGTGCGATAGCCAACCTGACAACCAGTAATAACTGAACGAACGGCACATCAACGAATTGCTCAGTCCTGAAGGGGTATGTGTCAGAACTGCCTTGCGATGACAAGAATGCCAGCATACCGAGAACTCTTCTTCTGGCTCTTCGTCTCCGTCGGAGTCAAGGAAGTCCCAAGGAACTTCCATCTCATTCCAGCTAGGGTTCACCGAAAATCAGACTCTCCAGGTAGCAGCTAGATGAAGAACCCACCGATCTCCTTCTACGGCGTTGGGATCAGGGCTCTCGCGTCGTTTCGGAGGAGGCGGTTGGACTGACTTCAGCAAATACAGTGGAGTATACGCGCCTTTGCGGTAACCTCTGCGAAAGTTCCCTGAGCCACCTTCAGTTAACCAAATGCCATTGACTTCTCCCTCAACATGAGGCCCAGCCTCGGCTTTCAGCGATACACGGATAGACTCGGTCTCTGCACATGCAATGAGCACGAGACTAGCCCTGGTGATCATCGAGACGAACTCACTTTTGCTCGAGAGGTACAAGACGAAACCGTCGCAGGTAAATGCTTCTGTAATGAGCGCGATCTTCCTGTCGTTGAACAAGTCGATCCCCAACGTCTCTCTGCAGAACTCGTCGGGCACCACGCTCATGCACGGATTGTGCATGACCAGGAACGCCCCGCGACGTTTGTCGAACTTGATTTCTGTGGAGAAATTGGCGTCCGCGACATCCGGGGCTCCGCTGCAGGCACTGTCAGCAGGGAACAGCAAATGAATGGGCAGGATTTGCGTACGTGCTCGCGCCGGCATTGCCCTCGACTTTCTTCGAGTAGTGTGAATGGATGACGTACACCTCCTCGGCAGGCCGAGAGTTCACTGGATGTTTTCTCGCGATGTCGGCCGTGTCAGGGTACGTGTAGATATTCCCAATTCGTTCGAACTGGCCTGACTCCCTATTGATAGTGCCGAAGTCACCAGCCTTCGTTTCAGACGAGATCAGCCTCTGAAAGCGACATCAGACGGCTATTGCCCACCTGAATAGTCTTCGGCGGGTCCCAGTTCGCCCACTTGGATGATGCATCCATGATTAGGTCGACGTATTTGCGAGATGCTTGCTTTTTCTGAAACCACTCAAACATGTTGCTGGGAGCGAGGGGAAGGAATGGACCGTCGGCCAGTATGACATCGTCGCATTCATATATATGGCGTGAGGATCCATCTAGACGCTAAATCGCACCTGCACGCTTTCGCACGAGCATTCATCGACAAGGGACAACAACGAACCTGACACGGGCGAAATATAGGGAAGCATGAGCCGTAAGGCACGTTTCGTGGACAGCTGACTCGCTGTATGAGGCGAACCTAATGACCAAACCTAATACAATTGATACAAGAGGACGAATAAGTCGGAGGTGCGTCATATATACGCGAGTAGTGTTTGCACAAGCTTAGAGGCGACAGTGCCAGGCCAATGGCTATAACTCTAGTCTGCTCTCAGAGTATGCATCAGGAAAGCTACAAGAATGAGAGTGAGCCACACCAAGAGTCCCTTTACAAGAATATGCACACGCACAAAATTAAGGTTCACGGGCAACTTGGACATCACTCGTCCATCCACTGCATGCACCGCGCTGCGAGGTGGATCCGAAGAGCCTGTCAGCGGAATCTCCCGACGATGTGTATAAGTAAGCCCGTCAGCTTCTACAGCTTTTCGTCTTGCCAGTTCGTACAGCATCAGCACTGGATCCGGCGCCGACCCCAGTTCTTCATTTCCGCGCAGTCCGATGCGTGAGTTATTCGATCTTCAGGAAGGCAGGAGATCTCGGCGCCAACTTACACGCGATTGTTTAGTTATCGTGAGAAACCACGAGCTTACCCAGTAACATTCAGCGCTCGTAGTACTAGGGTCCCACAACCGTCAGGTGGTCTAACATGGCCCAGTTTACATGGATCTATGCTCCGAGACTCTAAATGCAAAATTTGGACTCGCCGCCGCCCGATCTGCACGCCTCGGGTCTCTCTTGCATCGTGTAAGTCAGACAGAAGCAGACGCGTTCTGTCTGGACTCAGGGATTAACAGACGGTGCGGATAGAAACCTGGTTTCATAGTGTTTCTAATCAAAGTTTTCAGTCTTGTCGCCAACACCGCATCCTCGCCCGTCGTTCCTGCTACCGCCTTATGTGACCTGAGCTCCCGTCGTTCGAAGAAACACAGATCCGTCGTGTTGCGTGATCCGTAACGCACGATCAAGACCATAAGATGGACAGACAGGCTCCGGGGCGCTCAGTCTGTGGCGTTGTAAATGCTATTCAAAACCCAGTACGCGGCATCCTCGAGCAGTAAGAACCGCAGTCGCGCCCTTGTTCCCCCACTTGCTGTCTTGAAGTACGATGGCGTCCAAGCTCAAGCTCTTCGTCTTTGCGCTATTTCCGCTCGCCTTCGCAAAGCCCATGGCCCGCAGCATGAAAATCCACGAGGCCGTAGAGAATGTGCCCAAGGGTTACATCCGAAATGGACCTGCTCCCGCAGATGCAGAGCTCAACCTGCGCATTGCGCTCGCACAGAGTGACCCGAAGGGGCTCATCGACGCGCTGTACAACGTCAGCACGCCGGGCAGCTCATCATATGGCCAGCACCTCAGGAAGGAAGAGGTAGCACATTTATCTCCAGCATACTCTCTGATGCTGAGCCCTACTACTCAGGTTCAGAAGTTTGTTGCGCCAACTACACAGACCGTCAAGGCCATCAAGACCTGGCTCACTCAGGCTGGCGTAAATGCGACCCCAGTTACGGCTGCCGGCGATTGGCTCAAAATCGCTATCCCTGTCAGCCAGGCTAACGAGCTGTTCAACACGGAGTTCACCATCTTCAACCACTCCGAGACCGGCAAGCAGACGATTCGTGCGATGCACTACTCAATTCCCACCGAACTTGAGGGACACATCGACATGGTTGACCCTGTGACCTCGTGAGTAATGGTGCGATTTAGTACGAGTATGACTTTGACTGGCGTCGCAGGTTTCCGAGCTCTATATCCCTTCGCTCCGTCGTCTCGACACCGTCTAACCTCGAGCGCCGCGATGTTGACTCCCCGGCGCCTTGCTCGACGTTGGCGGTCACACCCTCCTGCATCGATTTTCTGTACAACATACCCGCCATCAAGGCTACCCAGAGTTCCAACCACCTCGCTGTCAGTGGCTTCATCGACCAATTCGCCAACAAGGCTGATCTCGCGGTGCGCGCAGCTCTTAATGTTTGAGCACAAGCAATGTTAACACTTGTACTTGCAGACTTTCCTGAACAAATTCCGACCTGAACTCAGCGGAGAGACCTTCACCCTTCAGACCATTGATGGCGGCAGCAACTCGCAGAATGGAAGCGAGGCCGGCATTGAGGCGGTGCGTATTTGTCTGGCGCACTCTTATACATGCGCTCATCGGATGCACTCGATAGAACCTTGACACCCAGTACGCCATCAGCACGAGCCACGGCGTGCCAGCAACCTTCATTTCTGTTGGCGAGGAAAATCTCGACGGTGACCTTAGCGGCTTCCTGGACATCATACTCTTCCTCCTCGGCGAATCCAACCCACCGCAGGTCCTGACAACCAGCTATGGTGGGAACGAGAACGATATCTCTCCCTTACTTGCTGCGTGAGTTGTGTGTTGCGACTCGGACTTGACGGCTTACTGACGTCGAATAGCAAACTTTGTAATGCTTACGCTCAACTCGGTGCCTGCGGTACTTCCATCCTCTTTGCCTCCGGTGACGGTGGTGTCTCTGGTGGAGTGCATGGCTTGCCGCCTGATAGCTGTACAGACTTTGTCCCTACATTCCCCGTTAATTGCCCCTTGTAAGTGTTTTTTGCAAGTCGTCTTCCTTATGATCAGACTTACCACAGACTTGCAGCGTGACCGGTCTCGGTAGCACCCAAATCGTCTCATCATCCGGCGGCGAGACTGCTGGAAGCTTCTCTTCCGGCGGATTCTCCAACTACTTTAGCAGGCCGCCATACCAGGCCGCCGCCGTCGAGTCCTACCTCTCCTCTATCGGTTCGATGAACAGCGGCTTGTTCAACGCCTCGGGGCGCGGGTATCCGGATGTCTCGGCGGTCGGAATCAACGTGACAATCGTCGTTAACGGCACGATTCAGACAATAAACGGCACGAGCATCTCGACCCCCGTCTTCGCCGGAGCGATCTCGCTCATCAACGACGCGCTCATCGCTGCTAACAAGAGCGCGCTCGGCTTCCTCAACCCATTCCTGTACGCGACCCCTGATGCGTTCAACGACATCACGACCGGCAGCAACCCTGGATGCAACACGAATGGCTTCCCAGCTCTGGAGGGCTGGGACCCTGTCACTGGCCTGGGCACCCCAAACTTTGTGGCGCTGAAGGCGGCGGCTCTGAAGGCGGCTGGGGTTCCATACCCCCACCCATAAATGAATGGTACGACGCAGGATATGATTTATCTGTAGATCGTTTTTATGTCTTGATGTGACATCAACATACTTTTCCAGCTCCAGCATAAAATACATGCTCCCTCATGTTCTAGCATCACTCTGCAAGAGTTCCAGAAAGGATACACATACCATGATTTTTCTGCTAATTTAAGACACCCTGAAAGCTTTGAACTGCACACTGTATCAAGGAATG